GCAGAATGAAAAAAACAACACCAGATTTCACAAATGTGAGATTCAGTGTTCACCGCTCATACAAGTCAAAGACTAAAAGATAATGCTGGAAATAAAGTAAAACTGTTTTTAAACAAATGAAAAACAGTCTAAAATAAACATGATTTGGAATAATATCGATATCCAGTAGGAAAACTGAAAAAGAAATATAATTCAATACTGATCAATATTGCTATAAAAAGAGATTGTATAAATAAACACAATTTTTTCACTATATGAATGAGCATTAATAGAAAAAAATTATAATAAATTACCGAGTCAAAATGAAGCTCTGAAGCTTCTCAGTCAATATTTCTCATGATTAATTTTTAGTAAACATAAATCGTTATGTCAGAACTATGTTTGAAACAAACATGCTGTTTGTGAAGGTTAAAATGTTATGTGATAGGAATCCACTTTTATGCTTCCCATTATTAATTATTGAATTAGCTTACCTGTTTCACTAGAAACAATATCATGACAGAACTGGCAGATGTGGGAGATATTCTGATCCAGACTCCCATCTTGGAACAGAGAGAAAAAAGTTTCCCCATGCCCATTCTGATAAATTTGTCCCCAGTATGCTGCTATTTCACTCTACTATAGATAAATTATATCATCCTGTCCTGTGAAAAAAAAAAGTAAAAATATCTTCTTTTATGAGTGCAACTGTTTCATGAACCTTCTTACAAATAAATGAAGAATTCTACTAAAGTGTCTAGGCTGCTAGACTCCAACTACATTTTGTTTTTTCTATTTAAAGACAGAGAGAATTTACTCTAAACTTCACAGAAAGTCTGCTTACTGTAGCTTGTCCTTTAGCCAATAAGAAGTCAGAAAACTATTAAAGCATTAAAGGGCTGATCCTCTTCTCTTGAAACTCCATGGGCATTTTTCCAGTGGTTTTGCAAGAGTGCAATCCAGCTCCACAAATATATATATATATATATATATATATATATATATATATATATATATACACATTTATATACACCTCATGAAATCATTAAAAGAAGCCCTAGAACACAGAAAATCTTTGTGTAGGAAGCTTGCTGAATCTAATTGACTGATAGGAAGCGGTTCAGTAATAGCTGTTTTTATCCTTTCTGATCATATTTTGTCAAATATGCACAGTAAATGCCAGATCAGGGAGAATCTAAATGTACAGAAAATTATTTTACCAGCAGTTAAACTTTTACTACAGTTCTTGTGACATTCAGTGTTTCTTTCACTCCTTCAGATGCAAGGTTGGAGAAACTGCCGAAGAATTTTAGCTTTAATTTTCAAAATATTGCTTGCAACCTTTCTAGTAGGAAAGCCTAAAAACATTAATAAATCTATGTGTTAGGCAGGCTCAGGGAATAAAACAATTTATAATATAATAATTTTAAGGTCTAGCTTACAATTTTCATGGTCTGAATTGGCAAAATGGAGAGTCAATCAGATGTTACCTCCTCCATTTCCAAGACAATTTAAACTTGTGCCTATTTGTACCAGAGGATGTCTCATGCACTTCCCAGAACTCACAAACATCCCAAGCATCTAAGCTGGAGAACAGAAAGGGGTGCAACATTAGGACTGTGGAGGACACCAGTAGCCCAGTTTTCAATGCCAGTCATAGGTTAAACCTAAACTGTGTGGCAGATACACCCTGCAGCAAACCCTATCAACCTGGCCAGCAGTGTACCCTGACTCTCTCTACACATGTGCCAAAACTTTCTTCTGGAGGAATCCAGAAGACGGAAGGACATCATGTAAACCTATGTCTCTACATGAAGTCTGGATGTGGTAAAAAAGCGTACTGGGACATGGGGTGTGGAAGTGCTCTAGGCACAAGTGGAAATGCATCCAGCCCACTCTAGAGGCCTGGCAGTAACGTCACTGGCTGCTCTACACTACTGTGCCTCCTGAGTGGATGTGTCAGTATACATATGCCTCTCTGCCATACCTAAGAACAACTCCGGGGACCAGGGAGTGTTGGAGAATGGCTCAGAGACAGGGGTCATGAGCCCACCAAGCAGTTGTACGATCAGAGCCTGTTCTAGGGGCTGATGCTGCCTCGCTGATGCTGGGCCTCACTAGGGTTTGCCTGCAGCTGCTTGCAGCTGCTGATACATGAAGAATGTCAAGGATGCTTCGGCCTTGTGTACCGTGGTATATCGAAAACAGGTTAAGAGGAATTAGAAATAGTGGCCTGAGAAACTTCGTGTTATGGTACTGTTGTGTATCGAAAACAAGTTAAGAGGAATTAGAAATAGTGGCCTGAGAAACTTAGTGTTATGAGAAGCTTGTGCTGTAAGCTAACCACAAGTAGGTGGACCGTGCGAACATGACCTTTAGAGCTTAAGCCAATCAGCTAGTGACTAGTAGGCATAATAATTATTGTTGTCTGTATAAATATATGTACCCTGGACCAATAAATTGAATGATGCTTTATCACCCACATTAAGTCCGTCTTGGCGTGTTGTTCCTCCGCCGCTCCGCAAGGGAGAGGCATTTAAAAACCCCTGTAGTAACTGCTCATCTGTGTATTGCTCCAAGGGATAAAAGCACATTTTCTAATAGCCATATGAGTAAGATCAGCTCTGTAGCAGGTTAAAACCAGGAGACCTGAATAGTCCTCTGGCATTGGAGCTGTTCTGAGATCACCATAAGAGATGTCCTAGTGCTCAAGAAAGCCTAAGGTCTGCCTAGACCCTAGATGGAAAGATGAACAGGGTGTCCTGTGATACATTCTCACTATTGCTCAGTAACATACAAGTCCTTTCATCTACTCCACTGATAGCTAGCACACAGCAGCTGATGGTCTGTTTTCAGTTTTTGCCTTCTACACGTTGTTAGTTTTTATCTGTTCACTTTTAAAAATCATCTGATGTTTATACTTGAATGAGCTTTGTGGTTCCTCTCTAGAGTTAGCACTACCCAGGACTAAGTCAGTGCAGGAGACCCACATTAAAGTATCCCCATATTGCAGTAACACTAATAAATTGTGGCACTAGGTGGTAAAGTCAGAATGCAGAGCTGAAGATTGAATTTTTGAGTTACTGTTCAGAGTTTTTACTAGAACAGCATAAATCAAGGTCATAATGCTGAATTCTAGCCACCACAGCTGCCCATCCTCATTCACTTTCAACTTTACACCAGCAAAAATCACTGAATATAACGCTTTGTTTGGAGAAAGGTCCAGTTAACCTGTTTGCTTCTCTTTTATTTTCTTTTTTTTTTTTTTTTTTTTTTCCACAGTATAACAGATCTAGCAAATAAATGTTCATGCAATACATTTATCCTATTATATAGATCATCCTTACATAGAAAATTGATTTAAAAGTTTGTAGTACCAGCATTGATAGGACATAAGCAGAAAACTGGTTCAGTGTAAAATCTCAGAGTGCAGTTGTCAACAACCAGAAGAATCAATTGACAACTTTTTTTGAAGTGTTCAGAGACTGATTCAAATCTAGTACGAGGTCTATTTAGTCAAAGAAGGCAACAATGCTGTGACATTCATGCTGGTTAAATTTTATAATGGCCATAAACCTGTAAAGTTTGTACATATTGGAAGAGGTGTCAGTGTTATTTCAAAGTAAACTCAACTGCCTTGAGTTTCACAGGCCTTGAAATACATTTGAATACAACCATATGCAGATTACTATAGGGAATAAGAACATAAATAAGTGTTTAATCCTTCGAAGGACTTCCTTCTCCCTCATTCCTTCCCACTGATCCTGTTCTCAGACTTCCTGGGCAGTTGGTAATGCTATCCAGAGTCAGTAACAATTCACAGAGGCTTCAAGTGGAGTTCATGAGCGCTACATCCTTGTAAAAATACAGTGACACAAAGCTGGAGGAAAAAATAACTCCTGGCTCAGTCTACAGTCTGCTTTTCAGGCTGTGAGATTTGCTCTGCCTTTTTAGTCCAGATACCAACTTGGTCTTTTACTCTGTTGCTGGTCAGCTTTTCAAGCTGAGATCTTTGCAATAATCTAAAGCAGGCATTTATCCTGGTTCTTTCAGGTTCATGCTGGGACTTTTCTAGTGACATGCTTCTCCAACCCTGATATCTTATGGGTAGAGAGTTGTTTTAAAAATCAGAATTACTTTAATTAAAAGACACATATGTGACTTCAGTGTCTATCCTGTGTTATCAGTTTCTCTTAGGGCATGTGTTTTGATCCTACAGTTGCAAAATGAAACAATTATTTACTAACACTCCTGCTCCTTCTGGTTTTCTGCATCACTTATTTGCATTATCGAACAGGCAGAAAAAGCAACATATATAACATGTCAAGGTGGGAAATGTTTCTTAGATGAAAGGAAAAAAAATGCTATTTCACAGAGAGCACACATAGACAGACAAAATGAGGATAATTCATCTTTTTCTCTACTGTTTCACCTAACTGGGTGTCCTGAGTTTGTGTGAGTGGTGAGGTTTTTTGATGGCAGGAGAGGGGGTTATAGGGGTGGCCCCCTTTCAGAAGCTTCTTGAAGGTCCCCCAACTCCAAGTCAGCTCCACTTCTGCTCCAAAACTGAGCCAATCTGCTGCGCCTCTGCAGTAACGTATTTAAGAAGGGATGTGGCGAGAAGCGATTAGACTTGTGAGGAGGAGTTGCGGCAGCTGCGTGAACACCAAGGTCAGTGGAGGAACGCAGGAAGAAAGGAGGGGGGAGGTGTGCCGTAGCTAAGACCCCCCTGTATCCTGTGGTGAGACAGCAGGGTGTCCCCCCTCTGCTACCCATGAAGATCTATGGTGGAGCAGACATTGATTTATGGCCTGTGTTTTTTGACTGGATGATCAAGGTGCTGTGCCTGAAGAAGGCTGGGGTCTCATGGGAAAAGGTTGCCCCCGCTGCTGTAATTCAGCACTGGGAGGATTGCAGCATGTGGTGGTGTCCCACGCCGGAGCAGCTCGGGAAGGGCTGCAGTCCGTGGGAGGGACTCCAGTTGGAGAAAGTTGGTGACCCACAACAGTGCAGTGTGGGGAATGCTGCGGCCTGTGAGAGGGACTCACATGAGAGAAAGTTTGTGTAGGACTTTCTCCTGTGAGAGGGAGACCACAATGGAGCAAGGGGAAGAAGTTCCAGAAGCTTCCCCCACCACAGATGGAAGAAGTGGCAGCACTGACTGCACCCCCCATTACCTGACCCTGCGCTGCTGGCGGAGGAGGTAGAGATGTCGGGAGCAGAACTGAGCCTGGGAAGAAGGGAGGGGTGGGGGGGAAGGTGTTCTCAAGGTGTGGCAATGCTTCTCACTGTCCTACTCTGTTATGTGTTGTTAGTGTCTGTAATAAATGTATGTTCTTTTTTTCTTCCCCTAACAAGTCTGCCTTTTGCTCGTGACCATAAAGGGTGATTTTTTTCCCCATCCCAGTCCTATCTCGAAACCCAAGTCTGGTTCTCTGTCCCTTCTCATTGCCGGAGGGGAAGGGAGAGAGAGTGGTTGCGTGGTGTTTGGCTGCCGACCAGGCTGAAACCACGACACTGGGGTAGAATTCTATTATGTGTTCATGGAGCCCGACTGGACAGAGTCCAGAAGACCATCAATAGCAAAGTCATGTAACTTATGACTTTCATTTGTCACTGGTGGGACTATGAACAGATGCAGTCACCTTCCCAGTGGTCTTGGGAAGTGCTGTAAGGCTGTGAAATGCTCTAACTCAGCAACTGGTTATATTTCCTTAGGAATTTATTTACAGTAAAATTTACCACTGTATTCAATTTAATCAGTGTTCATTGTAACAGAAGCATTTGGAACTGCAAGATTTTATTTATTTCTTAGGTGTGAAATAGAGAAGTTCCATCAGTCTGACTCCACCAACTGATCAAGGTAAATATGTATAATTCATATAAATAAAACTTTTCTGATCACATACTGGGGTACTTCTAATGCTTCTCTGTTCTGCATATCTTTACTCCTGTGATTCATAGGGTGAACTATAATTTATTGTCCCACTTCATCATATATCTTTCACAAGATATTACTGCTAAGCAACACTGTTCTATATCCTTAACCTCTCCTGCCACATGATTTCCGGTCATGCCCATATATCTGTTTTCTGTCTTAACTACTAAGCTGGTGCAATTTTCTGACAGGAATGAAAAATGGAATGGTAAATACAGGCAGGCATTTCACAAGGTGGATATAAACATAGCTTTGTAAAAGGTTGTTTCTAGAACAGTTGATAGTGCAGTCCTGGAGGATGTCAGTTTCAAACCCAGATGCAGACAGATGGCAGAAAGCCTCAGCAGCATTTTCTCTCAGTTTTCTCTCTTTAATCTTCTCTATTACAGCATTCAGCAGCAGTTACTGGTGTGAAGGGACAAGAAAAGTTGCCAAACCTTTCTGTACAGGGCAGAGCAAAGGTGATCACTGCATCTGCTTTAATAGCCCCCACATCAGCAACAGCAATGCTGTGCAGTATATTTGGGAAACAGGAGATGACAAGTTATTTAACTACAGGTTTCGTGCTGGTCTTTGGTACTCCTATGAAGAAATTATAAATGAAAAAGGTAAGTAAACCCCTGTAAATTTACTTAAGAAAGTAATCAGAGTTCTTCTCTGTGACTTTGATGTCACTTTTCTCTCTGCTGCAATACTGTATATGTATTTTAAAGGAAAATTTATCCTTACAAAGTTTCTCTTCCCTGGGAAGGGGAATCTTAAAGGGTACTACCTAGCCAATTCCTAAAAAATTCCTAATATATTCTGCAAAGAACTTTAGAGCAACAGATTATAGTACAGATGAAGATTTTTTTTTTTAATTATTCTTCTAACCAGAGAAGCAAGTTAAGTTACTTTAACAGGAAAGTGTTTTATTTTTCTGTTGGTTTTAGTCCCTTAGGCAAAACTTAATGTATTTGCCTTAAATGATTGCTTACGATCTCATTGGCAAATTAAAAAGCACAATGTGATTTTCTTGGTTTTAAAAATCATTTTAGCAATTAAATCTGTGAGATCTAAGCTATTTCATGGATTTCCTCTTAAGCACAGGTATTTCTATTTTCTTACTGAGATCTCACCTTCCATAAATCAAAGCAGTGAAGATTATTTTCACCCTACTAAAACATCATTTGGAGAATTGCTAATCATGAGTGGTGGCATTTAACTGAGTTTCACTGTACATATATAAATGTCAGTAGAATTAAATTAGCTTGCCTTTAAAGAAAGTTTATAGTTAATTTTGGATCTTTGTATAAGGGAATTACTTAGCTGGGACAAGAAATAGAGCATTTATTGTAAATCTAGATCAACACTAACTTTTTCCCCCTATTGTCCTGATCAGTTCACAAATGACAACTAGAATAAACTTCAGAAAAATCAAAGCAGCTGTCATCTGTGCTATAAAATGCAAATATTTTTTCAGTCACCTGTCCTGAAAGTCCAGTTCTACCAGAAGATCTTGTAATTCATGCAGTTGTAAATGTTGAAGATCAGAACAAAATACATGTCCAAAAGACATCTTTTATGTGGTGATTGCTATGGATACCAGAACAGTTTAATTTGTGCATCTGCTGTGGCAGTTCTTTTTCTCCAGCTTGGTGCAGTTAGTAGATGAAAAAAAACAACCTGTACTTTCATAGCAGAGCAGCATTAATTCCAAGAGCTTTGTTCACAGCATTTGTGTGGGGGTCAGGAGGTCACATAGGTTTGAAAATCAAACCTTACAGAAAGAATTGGAATCAAGCTTAGAAGAATTTTTTATGAGCAGCAGCCTTGTTGCTGTAAGGAGAACAGGTCTTCCTTCACAGAGAAGGAAGATGGTATACAAGCTGCCAATCTTTCAACGGAATTGATCATTTTCCCATTCTGTCTTTCAGAGCTATAACCTTTTGGAAATCAATTCAGCGCCTTTCTCTAAGTCTCCCAGACTCTGTTTCTGCCTTGAAAAATTCTGGAAGGATTCTCTATATAGGTCTCAGGAGTAGGTCTATGTACAGGGGACTCTGGGTGTACAAACATACATCAGAAATAGTTTCTCTTGATCATCACAATTTGTGCTTTTATGATAGATTTTGCATTTTCTGTTTTTTCATAATCTATTTCTTTGTATCGTTACAGAATACAGAATAATCCTGGATTTTATTTTTAAATAAATTTTATATTTTTCTAGGTTGGAAATGTAGAAGCTTAATCCGTCTGACTCCAGCTACTGATCAAGGTAGGTATGCATATTTTGTTTGTTTAAATAAAACTTTCCTGATCACATTTATCAAAATAAATATACTGTATTTTATATTAAAAATGCTTTCTTTAATCCCACACAGTTTTTTGCCTTTATTGAGTTTTTCAACTTCAAAATTAAGTCTACACAACTTAAAGTATGAATCTCTGTGTTTTGAAAACAATTTGAATATAAAGGGTTTTTAAAATTACTTTAAATACGGGTACCAGAAGTCAAGAGTTATAACTTTTTGCCTCCTCTCTCCTCATACCTCCCTATCCTCAGTCAGGAATTTTGTGGCTTGCATCATGAAGTCTGCACAAGGCAGAGGGATAGGCAGAGTATGAACGAGGGCAACAAGTATGCTGAGGGGACCTGGGGGAAGACAAGTCTTGATGACAGTCTGAATCCCCTCCTTGTACCTTACACACAACTGTGAGGAGGCAATTGCATTTCCACATTCCTGAGAGCAGAGAGTTGCCCTCTTTCTTTCAAAGAACCATTTATGTTCTTACAAAACATGCCTGCAGACGCTGTTAAGCTCCTCCGCTCCAATGTAAACCTTATTACTGATGAGGTTAGACCAATCACTTTGCAACTGGCTGATTCAGAAAAAAAGTCTTCCTTCTTCTCCATGCGGCTGAAACTGCAAGTCCAGAATTCTAGTACTTTCCTGAATGTGCCATTTCAGCCCCTTGGGGAAGAAGGAAGACTCAGTATCTGAAGGCTATTCCTCCTTCCCTCTATTGCAGCTTGTTACTGTGCACAAATAATTCAAGATTTGTACAGTGTGAGAAAAAAATATAAATGAGATGTGGTTCCTGCTCACGCAGACATGGTCCTCAGAAAGGAGTGATGGATTACGGGCTCTGCCCTGAGAGCTCGTCACATATGAAACCACTGGTGGACATAGTGCTGAAACTAATTCTGTAAACGGCATTGGCAAATGCCACAGGAACCTGCAGGTCAGATCAAGACAGCATCTAAGCACCCAACAGCCACACTGAGAAGCTATCCCTGTGTGGTAAAATCCCCTGTGGAAATAGATTCCTGCCCTGCACAGGAGAAGAGAAAATTTGCATTCTGCATGTGCATATGGCTGCTGTGTGCACAGAACTCAGGATGCATCAGGCTCACCCTTCTGAATTTATTATCCCTAGGCATCACACAGACGGATTATCACAGTTGTTCAGTGCATTTGTAATGATGGCTTACTTCTCAAAACTGTTAAGATGCAAGTTCTTGTAGCTGAAGCAGCCAATACTGTTGGTCAGCATAACAACTGGAGTTCCTGAACAAAATCAGAATTTTTTACTGCTGCAAAGGTTTGCTGGAGAAATAATCCTTGCCCAGCAACCACCACACATAGCCTGGCCCAAGAATTTGATGTCTAAATGGCATTTGAATCAGACAAGTCCTACAGACACTGTCAAAGACTGAAGCAGAGGTTATTTACCACCCAAACATTGTTTACTGTCATATGTAGCTGTCCTGGTTTGAGCCTGGTCAGCAGCCAACCACCTCGCAGCCACTCACCCACCCTCCCCCTCCACCTGGGAGTGGGGGAGGGAATTGGAGGTGTCGTGGCTTGGGCCTGGTCGGCAACCAACCACCGCAGCTGGTCACCCTCCCTTCCCCCTCCCCACCTGGGAATGGGGGAGGGAAGTAGAGGGGTGAAGGGAGACTCGCAGGCTGAGATAGAAATGGTTTAATAATGGCAATAAAATGAGAACAACGACGATGATAGGGAAAAAAAAAAAATATATATATATATAAACAAGCAATGTACAGCGTAATTGCTCACCACCCGCTAACCAATATCCAGCCCGTTCCCGGCCAGTGACCCCGAGATACCAAGGTCCTGCAATCGCAATCCCGGAAGCGAGAGAGAGCTCCTTCCCAACCACCCCTCCTTTATATAGTGAGCATGATGTTCCATGATATGGAATATTTCATTGGCCAATTAGGGTCAGGTGCTGTGGTCGTGCTCCCTCCCTGCTCCCTGTGCCCCTGCGCACGGGCAGAACATGAGGAGTCGGAGAGTCCTTGAAGTCTCAGTAGCAGCTGAGAACGTCAGTGTGCTATCAGCATTCTTCCCATACCAAACCCAAAGCTAAATCCAAAACACAGCACTCATCTAGTCCCTGAAAAGGAATATCAACTCTATTTCAGCCCAAACCAAGACAGGAGGTATAAAGGGAAACTCACAAGTTGAGATAGAAACAGTTTAATAATGGTAATAAAATTAAAACAATGGCAGTAATAGAAAATGTAAACAGGCAATGCACAATGCAATTTCTCACCACCCACTGACAAATACCCAGCCCGTTTCCGGCTAGTGATCCTGAACTATCAAGATCCTGCAGTCACAGTCCCGGAAGAGAGAGAGAGCCCCGCTTCCCAACCACCCCTCCTCTATATAGTGAGCATGACGTTACATGATATGGAATGTTTCATTGGTAAGTCTGGGTCTGGTGCTCTGGTCGTGCTCCCTCCCTGCTTCTTGTGCACTTGTGCATGGGCAGGACATGGGGATTTGGAGGGTCCTTGAAATCTCATCAGCAGCTGAAAACATCAGTGTGCTATCAGCATTCTTCTCATACTAAACCCAATGCTGAATCTAAAACACAGCATTATTCTAGTTACCAAAAAGGAACATTAACTCTATTCCAGCCCAAACCAGGACAATGCTACACAAATATATATTTTTATTAATTAATACTATTTCATTCTGATCTAGTATTATGATTTACAGAATACCTTGAGATACATTTCAAATTTACAGAATTGAAATTTTGGCCAGATGATACAAACCTTTTACTGGGTTTGCAGGTTCCTCTGTACTGTTGTGAAAAGAGTTCATATACACAGTGCCAGCTTTCTCTGGAGCTGTACGATCCGGAAGCTTGCATTTAATCTTTAAGCTCCTTTCCATCATTTCTCTTTTGTGCTTGAATTCCAAAACAGCTTTTGTATATTTATTAATAGTGGTGACAGCTGCAGCCATACAGCAAGCGAAGGAAGCCCATGCAAGGCTATAAACAAAAAGGGTTATCAGAAATTAGCAGAACATTTTCATACCCAAGTCCTTGAATTTTATTTTTGAAATCACTGCATATATGTGACTGTATTGGTGTGTATTAATGAAAGAGGAGCATGGCGGGGGAGGAAGAAAGATTCTTAGTTAATGACCATCTACATACCTGACTTATGTAGTTGACCTTGACATATTGGTTATAATACTCATATTTAACGTTCCTGTTTATTGAAACCCCACCTCAAATTTCTCTTTACTTTATTTACAGATTAATATCAGAAAGAGGATGCATAAAAAAATAAAAGGTGCATTTATTGAGACTACAAATCTCACAGGTGATAAGTGTTGCACTTATCCAAAAGGGCTAAAAATAAAAGAGAAGGCACAATCCAATAGGTGGCTAAAGAAGGCTCTGAGCACTGAAGTACATTCCTGAGAAAATATAGTTCATGACTAAACAGAGAGAAAAGAATATCAACTCTGAAATGTTAAAAGTAAAACCATAAGAAGACAGAATTAAAAAATTATATTGAGGTACAATTTGCTAAAAATGTGTGAAACTTCCAGACTACTGAGTGGACAATGAATGCTGGAGGTATATAAGTATTGTGTAAAAATATGGGCACGGTGGAATGAGCTGGAATTCACAGTGGAGGAACTTACTCATCAGAGCCTTTCTTAACATGACAAGGTCATGATTATTTAATGAAATGTGCTCTCATGGAGACATCAGTTTAAGAAACTCCTGCTTATCTCTCCTCTCCCTCAGAGTGGTTTGTTCCCACATCCTTGCTGTAGTTCAACAAACTCATTTAGGTTTTTTAATAAGTCCCTTTGGTTTGGGGTTTCTTAATAAATTTACTAGATCTCCTCAGAGGATATGTTGCAATTACTTACAGGGCCAAAATAATGTAGAAAGAGGGGTGTTCAGAGGATTTTTGCTATAGATACATATCTTTCAAAATCCATCAAATCTGATCAACAGCAAGCATTTGAATTTTCAGGTGCCGGAAACTGCTGATATTTCCCCAAATGTGACTGAAAAAAAGAATAAGAACAACTTTATTAGATTAAATCAGAAGTCAATCAGGACCAATATTTTGGGTCAATAGAGCAGAGCTCAAGCTTCATACATGCTCTGACAGCCAAGTTCACAGGTCATTATCACTCATTCTTGTTGATCTTTCTAATTTTATTGTACCATTATTGAACGAGAACTTATATCTGCTTTCAGTCTTTATGATGCAGACTGGCCAGGGATTTTTGCAGTGAAATAGGGGATTTGTTTTGTCTTTTGTTCTGTTACTTTTCATCTTCCTAAGAACTCAGATCTCATTTGAAGTTTACCGGATATTGCTCTGTGTCTTTCTAGGAGTTTGTTTCCCTTAGCAGCAACAATTTGTTTGAAATTACTGTTATATGTGTATAAATGGAGATGTTTCTCTAGTGCTTTCAGAGAACTGAAGGATGGGCATGGTCACTACTATCAAGATGTAGATTATCCAGATCATGACAAATGTTATATCTCACCCTATTTTTTCCAGCAGATGAGGTAGCCCAGCACCCGTATGTCACCCACTTGCTGAAAGTGGAAAGGGTGATACCCCTTTTGTCAGGAAGAACTGGTCTGAGAAGGTCCAACACCAAGTATCCAGACAACACCCTGGGCAATGTCCAGGAACTACTTGGATACCCTCAGTGGGTGTCATAGGAGCTGTGCAGAATCCTCAAATCCTCAAATAGAATCTTCCTTCTTCCCTACTTACAGATGTCTATACTTTTTGCTGCTTTGACTCTCACTGCTTCCATTCATTTATATTTTTGCTCTTTCAATAATAATTTGTCTTCTCTGGTTTGGTACTCTGATCTATTTTCTGGGAGGATTCTTTATTTCTTTTATGAATGGGATTAGGCCCATTTCTACTCTAAAATTAATATAAACAGTGGTCACTGGAAGGAGGGGGAGTGTTCCTTTGTTACTTCCCCCTTCCTATGGTAGTGGAAGCAGAAAAAAAGCCCGTTCCCTCCTTTCCATCCCACTGGGGGGAGAAGAAAAACACCCAAATCACTGTCACTATTGCTGTTACTGAAACAATTCCACCGATGCTACTATTGTCACCATCATCATGTTCATCACTGCTGTCATCATTGCTGACACTACAGCCAGCCTTCCCCTGAGAACCTGGATTAATGACTTTCACCATGTGGTACACACTAGGGAATTGAGGATTTCATGGCTGCCCTCTAATGACTCAGTGCAGCCTGGGCCACTGAA